CTTGCCTCAAAAAATTATTTGGTCAAATCCAGAGCGAAATGGAATCCAGTAGTTAGTCCAATTTAGAATAATCGCATGTGGGAGACTTCGTTATATTTTGCTCTTCTATGTTGTGGAATCCTACCAGGTATTTAATCTGAAAGAGTTCTTCCTTTATTCCTTATTCCCTAAGCAGTTATTGAGTACTTCCTATATATGTCTAGGCAAGCACTGAAGAGAATTTCTAGTGATTAAGATGTGAGCCTTACCCTAGAAGAACTGACAATGTAATGGAGGGGACACATGCATGGTGACAATATATCAGCATGAGCTGTGTTAGAGAAGTAGGAAGTGCTCCAGAAACTCTGAGAGTGGGAGCATACTGAACATACACAATGAGCTATTACTTTGCAGATGGGGGGGTGGGGGGAGAAGATAGAAATAAACACATTACCTAGGGAACTTTTGTGGGAGAAAGAACAGAATTATTATTTTAATAATAACTTTATTGAGATATTATGCACATAGTATAAAATTCAAATGAACAGTTCAGTAGCTGTTAGTGTATTCACAGGATAGTATAACCATCATCACTGTCTAAATTTAGAACATTATCCCCAAGAGACACCCCATACCCATGACCAGTCACTCCCCCACTCTTCTCCCAACTGTCCAGCACTAAGCAACCACTGTTCTACTTTCTGTCTCTATACGCTTACCTATTTGGACATTCATAGTAATGGGCTTCTGTGCCTTGCTTCTTTCACTTAGCGTAACATTTTCAAAGTTCATCCATGTTGTAGCATGTGTCAGTATATCATTCATCTTTATTGCTGAAGAAGATTTTCATTTTTTGGATATACAGCATTGTGTTTATCTGGTCGCCAATTGATGTTTGGGCTGTGTTGACAATTTTGGCTATTACGAATAATATTGCTGTGAACATCCATGTATGAATTTTTATGTAGACTTAAACTTTCAGTCCTCTTGGGCATATACCTAGAAGTGGACTTGCTGGGTCATATAGTAACCCTTTGTTAAACGTTTGAAGGAACCGCCAAATTGTTTTTCAAAGTGGCTGCACCATTTTATCATTCCACCAGCAGTATGTCAGGGTTCCAACCTCTTCACATCTTTGCCAATCCTTGTTATTGTCTGAGAACAGAATTGTTTTGAATGAAAATATAAAGTCATTAAGACAGAAAAGTTCCTATCAGATTATGCTATACTCATTTAAGGCAGCCCACATAGAAGTTATGTGATATTAGAACCTACAGCTGAATGCCACTTTGTAGCTCTGTATACAAAACAACTCTGTTGGAGTCTAATTATCTTATCATTAATGTTCACCAGGTGGTTAGGAAATGCTGGTTTTCTTTTATGTCTAAGTGAGAGGTAAAAGGTGGTGAAATGATTATATGTACAATACTGTTCCAAAGTTAAACCCATTTCTGACATGCAATTAAATATAATTGAAATAGGACAAATTGAATAGCAAAATTAAATTTGCAAAATATTGTGTGAACAGATATTAAATGTATGCTCTTTAGGGTCTTTGGTTGGTGACTTGGCATTGGGGCTTGAGCCCCACATTTTTCCTTACTTGGCATGATTCCCACCTGCCCGCACTTGCCTCTTCTACTCCCCTACCTTGGCATGTCAAAGGAGTTCACGAGACATTCCCCTGCCAACGCCCTATGCAGAGAGGGTGTTTCAAAAAGTGCTGAAGTTTAATGTGGCTAGGAAGGAAAATAGATTCTCCACCTCTGGAGGGGGCTTTCTCAGACTCAGATTTGTTTTTCGTGAATCTAGGAGACTTGACTATGATATCGTAAAAACCAGAAATGTAAATATGACAGTCATTACCCCACCACCACCACCACCTTGTCCAGCTCTTCACTGGCTTCCCAGTGCCCATTATTGGTTGTCTTCGATGCTTAGTGAGGACATCATACAGTGGTTTTTGTGACCTGATACCTGCTGGGCTCTTCAGCACTTAGTGTTTGTAGTTCCCTAAGTACACACACTGACATACTCCTTTATTCTTCTACCAGCATTTAGTTTCCTCTTTTGAAAGTACTCTTGTCTCTCTTGTCTCTCTTTCCTCCACCAGGAAGCAATTCTAAGCCCCCTAGCTCTACTAGGTCCCAAAACACTGATGCGGGTGCTTTGTTTACCACAGTGAAAAACAAAAACCAACCAAACAAACAAAAACCCAGAAAATGTCCTTGGACTTGTGGAGCTTATACTTTCTCTGAGAGAAACAGACAATAGACAATAGTCATACTAACTAAATACCTACCTTGCATAGTAGAAGATGTTGGGAAATGTAGCAGATGGGAGAGTTGGAATTCTACATTAAATAGCATGGGTGGGTGGGCCTCACTGAGAAGGCCTCTTGGGATAAGGAATATGCTGTGTGGATACCTGGAGAAAGAGCCTTCTGGGCAGAGTAAACAGCCAGCCAGTGAAATTGCCCGTCATGACGTCATCTGTGTTAGAGTGATAAAAGTCCAGCCATCAAGGAAGTTGACAGGCTAGTTTTCCCAAGTATCCTTCCTGTAGACAAACATGTATTTCCATTCAGAGGTTTGAAAATCTAAAAATAGTTCTAATCCAGATCTCTCCTATGCCATTTCCCCTCACCACACTCCTCAATGCACATTTTGTGGACTAATAATAATCCAGAACTCCCAGCTGGGCCCTGCTGCACACCTAAGTCATATGAGATCAGGATTCACCCTCTGTGAAATATGTGCCCCTAATCATTTTATGTTTCCAGAGGACCGGGTCTGCTTCTGTCCTCCATTCTCTGAGTCACATTCCTTTACGTTCTGTCCTCTCTCAGGTTTTAATTCCCTTCCACATCATCACCCAGTTGGTGTTCCCTGGTTTCTCTTTAGTGCCACGTCTGTAAAGACTGCCTGTGAATCCTCATCCTATTTGCTCAACCGGAAGGAGGAGGTGTTCCAGCTCCTTCAGCTTCCCCGTTAGCAGCTTGCCCTAAATAGGGTCATGTCTGGGACTTCACTTCCCAAAAGAAGAAACCTAGCAGAGCCCTTGCACATTATTGTAAGAATCTTTACCTCTCCCAAATTTACTGGTTAGATTGGGGCTTGGGGAATAAATACTCTTGATCACTAAAATTTTTATAAATCTGATACATTACCCACTGTTTTTCAGTGCTGTCTTTTCAGCAACATGTTCTTTCATACCATTATTTCATATTTTATATTTCCAGGTGCTTCAGGAAGTAAATACTAGGAGTACTTTCATTTATCTGGAGCTTCTTGCTATAACACAGTAATCTAAATTTAAAGAAAAGGCTCAAAACCCGGAAATGTGTACAGATATTTCTGCATTAAAATGTGTTTTCCCCCATTTCTCTTCTGTCTCTTTTATTTCCACATATCAGAAACTTTAAATGTCAGAAGATTGTCTTGTTTGTCTTGAATGTCACATCTTGGGACTCCTTCACAAGCTGCATTTCTTAATAGAAACAGTGAAAGCTCTGTCACATAGTCATTTAATGCCCCTCGATGCTAGCGGATGTGGGGATTTATTGACCTGTGCTTGCTTCACAGTCTGTCTTTGGTTATATGGATGCTGTGTAAATGTATCTACGGGTTTTAGAGCAAGTTTTAATTCATCCTATATCCTGTGCGTTATTACTGTGTCTAAATCGCGGGTGGGTGCTCTTTTGTTGTTGTTCACTCTCTCCTTTTCATATAAATTTTTGGTCAAGATAATAATTGTAAATAGTTTAAAAGTCTAATAGCATTTACAGTGCTTATCACAAAATCCAACATTCTGTCACTCATCTCTCCTCACCCTTGCCCACCAGTGACGTTCTCTTTCAAACTCATCACTGGTGTTTTTCTGGTGTTTAGCTCTGGTTTTTCACATCAGATGATTATTCTGGGTTTCTAGATTTTTTTTTCTTTCATCTCTTGTGGACGATGAGGATTTAGCCTGCAAATACCCTGTCATCCCAACATATGTCAAATGCCATTTTAAAAAAGCAGTTGTGTTCAGAAGCCAAAATTTTACTGATCCTAAAATAGTAGTACAATGCAGTATTTTAGAAAATGAAAGCAGAGTTTTAATAATGCATTGTCAGGGAACTGCACTAAAAGCAAAATATTATTAGAGCCACTAGGTGTTTCTGTGTATAATTTTAAGAGGATAACAATAATATTAGAAACAATTTTGATTTAGCTGTAGCATTCAGATAGTACGTGAGAAAATCTTCATTTCCTCTTACCTTGCAATAGTCAGTGAGTGAGCTTTGTTTTTAAACTCTAGTCAATTTGAGTCTTAATCACCAAACATTTTATGGGAGCAGAGGTGAAAGTTTAACCCTACTTAAAAGAACAAGAGTACTAAAGGCAGACTTCTGAGAATCATAAATTTGCATGAAAAACTTCACAAGGGAAAAATCATAATTGCCTCAGCGTGAGAGATGGAACGTATTTGAAGATAATTGGAGACTGTCTTTTATGTGTTCTCTTTGGTTTAGTTTTGATTTCATGTACTTTAATTTGTTTCTATCTCTTAGTTTTTTTCTTTAATATATTCTAAAGAATGTAAAGCACTTCTGAGGATCTCATTACTACTTGTGAAATTGCCTTCTTCAGTACCATTGGATGTAATTTTTTTTGTCAGTCTTACAAGAAAAAGGTATCTTTGAACAGGCTGTTCTAGTTTAGCAATCTGACAGTAGTGATAACCCTAAAAGTGCATTTTGTGTAAGTTCAAATATACTGTAACAATTTCTCTTAGGTGAATATTGTAAAGATTCTTGTTTTGCATATTTAAGTCCTGTCATGTTTTTGCTTTTATATATATTTCATCATTAATGCGTGTAAAAATTGTATTTTCACTTCTAACTTTGCTTAAATGGTTATGAGTCATTCTGTCATTCCCTTGATAAGTATGATCAGAAGTAGTTTCATTGGAGATGTTCCATTACTTGGTGAACACAGTAGTTACAAATTCAACTTTTGCTTCTCTTTGCAAAGGCCCTGAGACGTGAGTTAAAGGAGAAAGAGTATTCTGTCCTGAATGCAATAGACCAAGCTCGAGTTTTCCTGGCTGATCAGCCAATTGAGGCCCCTGAAGAACCAAGAAGAAACCTACAATCAAAAACAGGTGAGATTGGTTTCTTTCATACATCATAAAACACATGTGAGGAGAACAAAAACCTGAAATAAAGTAGGAGATTTTCTTACAGTATTTCAGCATCTAATAGTAAAATTTTACCTCTGAGTGTTAGTTTAATCAAATATGTCATTATTTAACAAATATCTAGATTTTTAAATTAAAAATGAAATGGCTGTATAATTCATATCCTTATTTTAAAAGGACATTAACTGCAGAAGAATGGATTTAGGAAAAGGCATCCTGTAACTAACAATAATTACTTGGAGAAAGAAAAATTTACATTTCTTATATTTAAGCAAATTGATAACTTTAAGCAAAGTGATAATTATAAGTGGAAGAGTGGTATTTAAAATACAATATATATAAATACTGAAATATCCACAAAGATTTTTTTAAACTTCTAGTTTTCCAGATAACTTTTTAAAATAAGACACTAAAGCACCTTTCTTTTACAGGCAGACAATAGAGTTTATTTAAATTAAAATCAACCCATTTATGTACTATTTATGCACTTTGACTTAAAGTTGAAACAGTAACTAACTCATTAGCAAATAGCAGTCAATCACACAGTAAATTTAAGAGATGAATTTTGGGTCCAACATAGATCTTCCTTATGATTTTTCACTGTTGTCAATAAAAGCATTCTGATGCATTTTTAAAACAAGCATACCATTCAGACTATTTAAAAAATTAAAAAAAAATTATTTTAGAGAGAGAGCACAAGTGAGGGAGAGGGACAGAGGGAGAGAGAGACTCTTAAGCAGGCTCCATGCTCAGCCCGGAGCCCGACATGGGGCTCGATCCCATGACCCTGGGATCATGACCTGAACCGAAATCAAGAGTTGAATGTTCAACCACCTGAGCCACCCAGGCACCCCTGAAAATATTTTTTCATCCCTCACTTCACATAGTGCAGGCAGATCTGAAAGACTTCTTCATGCTGTGTCCCACAGCATAATTCATGAGCATTTATTACTTGTAAGGAAAGTACAGGTGGAAAATGCTTTTTTTGACTGTAGCCAAACTGGATCAGATATTTGGACAAGCAGCCATTTTCCTTCTCACCCTTTCTCAGAGTAGGGTCTGAGAAATTTCAGTCTGAATAAATTTCCCATCAAGATCATGATGTTCCTTTCACTCATATGCAGAATTTGAGAAACTTAACAGATGACCGTAGGGGAAGGGAAGGAAAAATAAGATACAAACAAAGAGGGAGGCAAACCATAAAAGACTCTTAAATACAGAGAACAAACTGAGGGTTGATGAGGGTGGGGGGTTAGGAGGGTGGGGAAAATGGGTGATGGGCATTAAGGAGGGCACTTGTTGGGATGAGCACTGGCTATTGTATGTAAGTGATGAATCATGGGAATCTACTCCTGCAGCCAGACTATAGTATGTTAGCTAATTTGACAATTAAAAAAACATCATGATGTTCTTTGCCCTTTAAGCCTAGTTTTATATGTATGTCTGTGTACACACATACACACACACACACACACACACGCACACACACAGCATACCTATATTTTCTAGCATTCATTTTTAAAAGTTTTTAAAAAGTGTTTATTTTTGAGAGAGAGAGAGAACACAAGCAGGGGAGGGGCAGAGAGGGAGAGAGGGAGAGGGAGAATCCCAAGCAGGCTCCACGCTGGCAGCACAGAGCCCCATACAGGGCTCGAACCCACAACTGTGAGATCATGACTAGAGCCAAAATCAAGAGTTGGACGTTCAACCGACAGCCACTCAGGCGCCCCTTCTAGCATTCATTTTTATTTTCTGCTGGTAGCATCATTGTCTTTCCAGTCAGCCTACTGGGGACTTAAGCCATTGCTGGGCCTCCACTTCCAACAAACCCGTCAGTGTGCAAATCCCTGTAATTGTTACGTCTCACTTTGAAGAAGTATTCCTTCTGAGTACTCTGTTGTATATGTATCACACACACACACAACATGCACACACACACATAGTAGGTGCTTACTGCACAGTTGCTGAATGAAGGCATGCATGCATGTGCCGAGCACCTGTGGGGATGCTTGGGCCTTGAGGAGGTTCAGGGAAGAGGGAGGACCACCTGGGGCAGGATCGTCACAATCAGCGTTCCCCAGTGAGGAACAGAGTGGCTTTGCCTGGGCAGCTGGTAGGAGTGGGGAGCTTGTCCGTGTTGTCTGGTGCAGATTACAGAGGACCTGGAAAGTCGGACAGAACATTTCAAGTTAACACAACAAGAAAAAAGGCACCATTAACAATTGTTGTTAAGCTTGGAAGAAAAAATAAGTTCACTTGTCTCACCTTTTCCAAGTTAAAGTCCACCTTAAACCTGCTTTTCTTGTCCTTGCTTCCCTAGCACTTTCCAGAGAATAGAGGAAATGTTTTTGTAATAAACTGCTTCATAGCAATAAAAAAAAACGTTATCATATCACTAAAGCTTCACTTCACTATAAATTTTCCTTCTCAGTGGTTGGTTAGTCTAAAGGATAAGATAATATTGCTTTTTTGAGTTCTTATTTTGCTGATACATTTGGGATGTTGCCAAGCCCCATGTCCAAATACTATACTGGGGGCAAGAGAAAGAGTCATCAATTTAACTTTATGATTTTCTTGTGATTTGGTTTTTTATGATTAGCAACTTTTATACTTTCTTTCCCATTATTGTTTTCTGCAGTGCTAGCTGATGTTACCTGCTGGTAAAAGTAAATGAAAGAAAATTATCCAAAATAGCTTTTATACTTTTGTTGTTCACCATGAATTAGATAGAGCTGCTATCAGAAATAGCATTTGAACATTAGTTGTCTTGTGTGATGCTACCTGGAGTACTCCCTGTTGGAGGGGTAGAGCAGGGAAGATAGAAAGATTTTGTATTCTATTTAATATGCTGTGTGTACCGTGCCATTGGGACACTCCAAAATGAACCCATCTCTTTACTTGTCAGTAACTGGTTCAGAAAATACTTCTCTGCATGATTTTTCTTTTCTAAATGCCTTTTCTTCTTCCAGTTCTTTTTTTTTCCTTTTTTTTTCTATTGTCAATTATCTTACAGTGGTGTGTGTGTGTGGCGGGGGGGGGGGGGGGGGGGGTAACCCGTGGTGTTTTACTTGGGTGCTGTGTATGACAGGTATGAGTTGTTCTCAGGCTTCTGTCCTATTAATTGATAAATGCTATTAAAAAGAAGCAAAGTAATTATTTCAGCTAAATGATAAGTTGCTGATAAAGAGTCTCATCAGGTATGCTCTGCTAGATATTTCCATTCTTTCCCCAGTTTTTTTGGGATATAAGTGACATATAACATTCTGTGAGTTTAAGGTGTACAACGTAATGATTAGATGTATGTGTATATTGTGAAACAGTCACCACAATAAGTCTAGCTAATATCCATCACCACACACAGTTACAAATTGTATTCCCTTGTTATGAGAACTTTCAAGATCTACTCTCTCATCTTTCAAGTATGTATATTTAAAATATTTAAAGATCACTGTTAATGTTACTTGCCTTACCTTAAGCCCTTGCCATTTTTTTCTTAGGACTATTGTTACTTCTTTTTTGTTTTTAAACATTTATTTATTTTTTAGAGAGAAAGGGAAGAGACAGTGCTTGTTCATGTGGGGGAGGGGCAGAGAGAGACAAGGACCGAGAGTCCCAACTGGGCTCTGCAGAGAGCCTGATGCGGGGTTTGAACTCACAAACTGTGAGATCATGACCTGAGCCAAAGTCATGTGCCCAATCGCCTGAGCCACCCAGGTGCCTCTCTTGTTAGTTCTTTCTTAATTGTTATCTCTGCATCAACATAGACACTACAGTGATATATCTGAAACTCAGAACTGGCATTTGCTCCCCTGGTTTAAAAACCACCAGTAGGGGCGCCTGGGTGGCGCAGTCGGTTAAGCGGCCGACTTCAGCCAGGTCACGATCTCGCGGTCCATGAGTTCGAGCCCCGCGTCGGGCTCTGGGCTGATGGCTCAGAGCCTGGAGCCTGTTTCCGATTCTGTGTCTCCCTCTCTCTCTGCCCCTCCCCCGTTCATGCTCTGTCTCTCTCTGTCCCAAAAATAAAATAAATAAACGTTGAAAAAAAAAATTAAAAAAAAAAAAAAAAAAAAAACCACCAGTAGCGCCTGTGATAACATCTGAGCTCCTTCACTGGGCCCACAAGGCTGGACAGGGATTTGGCCTGTTTTCCCGTGTGGCAGTGTCTTATCTCTCTCTCTCTGCCTCCAAACTGATGTCCATTTGCCACCAAACTACTAGTGATGTTCTGCAGGCAATGGTTTTCCTTGTCTTTATCCTGTGGCTTACCGTCCTGTTTTTGTTTTGTGTGTGTGTGTGTGTGTGTGTGTGTGTGTGTGTTTTCTGTGTGTGGGTCTGTCTTACCTGAATTTCTGACTCCTTCCTTGTTTGCACACTCAGCCCCTGCTCATCCTCTCCCAGCCAGTGAAGGCTCAGTGTCTTTCGGGGTCCTTTTCTCTCAGCTCTCTTCCATGCCTCCTGGAGGGTCTCTCCGGGATCTCTCTGACCGTGTTACCGGTATCTGTGTCTGGAGCTCAGCCCTCCCTGTACTTAGCGACCTTTCTCACTTACTGAGAATCTGACTATGCAAAATTATCTGAGCAACCAAGATAGATCTTATATAGCAAATGCAGTGAAGATCCTTAGTTTTACTCACGGAAAAGCTGCTCTCTCAGAGGTATTAGCTCTTACTTTAGACGCTGTTGTAACTAGTTTCACTTGTTTCCCAGTGAATCGTGGGCATGTGGCAAATGGAAAGGACAGGACACGGAAAAGGGTGACCGTGAGCAATGATTGCCGGCAGTGACAGCAATGAGGAGAAAGAAATTATAAAAAGGATATATGACACTTCTAAACTAATGCAAAACAGAGTAGTCTTTGGGGCTTTTTACAAGAAAAGAAAAACTGAAGCTATGAATTATGGTCTATTTATTTTTGAAGACAGAATGTAAATCAGTTAAGAGAAGGCATAGGAATTTATGCTCTGT